TGTGGCCCCTGACAGGTGGATGTGAGTTGAAGGTTCTCCCTCTAATCGGTGCTCTAACCCGGTGTAGGTTAACCGGTTCTAACTGGGTTTTTTTCTTGAACTGAGGAAAGCCGCCGCTGGGTGTCGCTGTGGCGCGTATCGGGGACTCTGTGGTGATGGAGTCTGCGGGCTGTGTGGAGGAATGAACCGGCTCATCGACCACTGTTTCCCCGCTGTAGTCGGACTGTCAGCGGCCTTGGGTGATTCGCAGAGTGGAGCTATCGCCGCTACTGAGCTATGAGGTAACATGTCTGCCGCTGTCAGGTTCTAACCCGGGCATGAAGTCCAAGAAGAGTCCGGTGTTCTGGTGACAGTCAGTGGGAAGGACAGCTGCAGCTGGCTCCGCTAGCACTGCTAGCACAGCAGCTAATAGCCTGGAGGACGCTGCCACCTCCATGGAGCTCCAGCTAGCCTCTGTTAGCTCCTGCTAGCCTATGCTAGGCCCTGTCAGTCACTGTTAGCCCCTGCTAGTCACTGTTCGCCTCTGCTAGTCACCGTTAGCCCCTGCTAGTCTCTGTTAGCCCCTGGTAGTCCCTGTTAGCCCCTGCTAGTCTCTGTTAGCCTCTCCTACTCTCTGTTAGCACCTGATATTCTCTGTTAGCCCCTTCTAGTCTCTGTTAGACCCTCCTAGTCTCTGTTAGCCCCTGTTAGCCTCTCCTAGTCTCTGTTAGCACCTGCTAGTCTCTGTTAGCCTCTGCTAGCCTCTGTTAGCCCCTTCTAGTCTCTGTTAGCCCCTGGTAGTCCCTGTTAGCCTCTCCTAGTCTTCTGTTATTCTCTGCTAGCTGTGGGCTGTGGCTCCAGTGGGACTCGGTCATAGCTGTTGATTCGGTCATAGCTGTTACATGTAGGGAGGCACTGTCTAGATCCCAATCTAACCAGTAGAACCAGTGAGTGGTGCAGCTGGGAGCAGTGAGTCCTCTGGTCAGACATGTTGGAGCTGGCAGCAGCTGCTGGAGCAGAGGAGCCGTACCTGGACTGGGTCCTCCAATGACCCAGTTTACCTGGACTGGATGCTCCAGGGACC